TCCGCACGCCCACGCTCTATCAGATGAGCCAAACCGGTTTCGGCTTACTACTCTCTTATATTAAAACCTATTGGTGTATTTTAAACTTTCAATCTTTTTTCTATGTATGATTTTGTAACATCATGCATTGGTCATTTGTGGAAAATATTAATTCACTATGTGGATTTACAAATGTTGACATTTCATTGCACAATATCCTAGAAAAAAAGAGTGCTAATATCACTACCAATTTCATCAAAAATGCCTTTTTCACATTCTTTATTATTCACATTCTTTATTATTTTTTGTTGTTAATCCTCACCTGAGGATATTTTTCCACTGATTTTTTTTTAATATATTTTATTGATTTTTTACAGAGAGGAAGGGAGAGGGATAGAGAGTTTTAAACATCAATGAGAGAGAAACATTGATCAGCTGCCTCCTGCACGCTGCACACTGGGGATGTGCCCGCAACCAAGGTACATGCCCTTGACCGGAATCGAACCCGGGACCTTTCAGTCCACAGGCCAACGCTCTATCCACTGAGCCAAACCGGTTTCGGCTATTTTTCGTTTATTAATCTGAGAGAGAGAGAGAGAGAGAGAGAGAGAAACATCACTTTATTGTTCCACTTATTTATGCATTAATTGATTCATTCTTGTTGTATATACCCTGACCTGGGATCAAACCTGCAACCTTGGTGTATTGGGATGATGCTGTAACCAAGTGAGCTACCTGGCCAGGGCTCATCATCATTTATTGAAGAGACTGTCATTTCCTCATTGTGTGTTTTTGGGTCCCTCGTCAAAGATTATTTGACCATAGATGCATGGGTTTATTTCTGGGCTCTGCTGTTTTTCATTGGTCGATTTTTATGCCAGTACCATAGTGTTTTGATTACTTACGGCTTTGCAATATTTTGAAATAGGAAGTGCGATGCCTTTAGCTTTGTGTTTTTGTTTTTCTTTCTTTTTTCTTTTTTTTTTAAGATTGCTGCCTGGCTGGCATCAACCTATGAATCAGGAGATCATGATTCCATTCCCGGTCAGGGCACCTGCCCGGGTTGCCAATCAATGATTCTCATCGTTGATGTTTCTGTCTCTCTCCCTCTCCCTCCCTCTCCAAAATCAATAAAAACATATGTATATATTTTTTAAAAAGATTGCTTTGGCTATTTGGATTTTTTTGTGTGGTTCCATATGGATTTTAGGATCACCCTCCCTTCTTATTGAATTTATTGGGGTGACACTGGTTAACAAAATAACACTGGCTTCAATTCTATAATACATCATCTGTCCACTGTGTTCATCATCCCAAGTCTAGTGGGTTGTTTTTTCTGTATCCATGGAAAATGTTATTGGAATTTTTATATGAATTACATAGAATCTGTAGATCACACTGGGGAGATTACCTGGGTAAAATGGACATAACAATATTTATTCTTTCAATCCAAGAACACTGGATATTTTTCTATTTATTTGTGACTTATTTTTTTTTTTTTTAAATATATTCCACTGATTTTTTACAGAGAGGAAAGGTGAGGGACAGAGAGTTAGAAACATCAATGAGAGAGAAACATCGATCAGGCGCCTCCTGCACGGCCCCTACTGGGGATGTGCCTGCAACCAAGGTACATGCCCTTGACCGGAATCGAACCCGGGACCCTTGAGTCCGCAGGCTGACGCTCTATCCACTGAGCCAAACCGGTTCCGGCTATTTGTGACTTATTCAATAATTTTCAGAATAAAGATCTTTCACCTCCTAGGTTAAATTTATTCCTGAGTATTTTTTTTAAAAAATATATTTTATTGATTTTTTACAGAGAGGAAGGGAGAGAGATAGAGAGTTAGAAACATCGATGAGAGAGAAACATCGATCAGCTGCCTCCTGCACATCTCCCACTGGGGATGTGCCCGCAACCCAGGCACATGCCCTTGACCGGAATCGAACCCGGGACCCTTCAGTCCGCAGGCCGACGCTCTATCCACTGAGCCAAACCGGTTTCGGCTCCTGAGTATTTTTTATGCTATTTTTTTTGTTGTTGTTAATCCTCACTCACATCAGGATATTTTTTCATGGATTTATTTTTTAAAATATGTTTTTATTTATTTCAGAGAGAGGAAAGGAGATGAGAAAGAGATAGAAACACTCATGAGAGAGAAACATCAATTGGCTGCCTCCCGCACGTCCCCTGTTGGGGATCAAGATCCCAAAGCCAGCATGTGCTCTACCTGAATCTAACCAGGAACCAATATGGTGACCTCTTGGTGCATGGGACGACCTTCACTCCATTGAGCCACACCGGTCAGGGCATTGATGCTATTTTAAATGGGATTTTAATTTTTCTTTGCAGATAGTTTATTATTGTATATAAACACAGCTGATTTAAAACAATTTTTTCTAATACATTTTGTTTGTTTTGTTTTTAGAAGATATTTATTAAATCTGGGGACAGTGAAACAAGGAAGGGCCTAGGATAGAAGAAGCAACAGGAGAGGGACTAGGTGGGGAATTGAGCCGAGCCTCGGCCACTTTGGCTCACTCAGAAGTCAGAAAATGTGGCTTTGGGGACAGGCTCAGGGGGTTGGCCTGGGACAAGCTGCTGCCGCCATTGCTTCCTGGTTGCAAATCTCATGGGTTCCCTTTTTGTTTAGGAGATGCATGGGTATGGAGGAAGAATAGAGGAAAGAGAAAGATACAGGTGTTTTCCTGGGAGGGAAAATAATAGGCTGTTTGTTTTTATAGAGGAGGGAGGGAGAGGCACAGAGAGAGAGAAACATTGATTTGTTGTTCCACTTGTTATTAGTATGCATTCACTAGAGGCCCAATGCACGAAATTCATGCAAGAGTACGCCTTCCTTTCCCAGCTGTCAGCTCCAGCTTCCGTCTGGCACCCTGGCTTCGCCTGGAAGGTCGTTCAGAAGGACGTTTGGTCTCATTAGCATATTATGCTTTTATTATGATAGATTGGTTGCTGCTTTAAAAAATATATATATATTTATTGACTTCAGAGAGCAAGGGAGAGGGGGAGAGAGAGAGAAACATCAATGATGAGAATCATTGATCGGTCGCCTCCTGTATGTCCCCCACTGGAGATCGAGCCCGCAACCCAGGCATGGGCCCTTGACTGGAATCTGACCCAGGACCCTTCAGTCCCCAAGCCAATGCTCTATCCACTGAGCATGGTTGATGCTTTTCATGTGCCCTGATCGAAGATTGAACCTGCAACCTTGGCATATTGGGATGACTCTAACCAACTTAGCTAACTGGCCGTGGCAACTGAGTTTTGTATATTGATTTTTTTTTTCTAATCCTGCAATTTTACTGAATTCATTGATTAATTCTAAGGGTGTTTTGGTGGAGTCTTTAGTGTTTTTTATATGTAAGATGATGTCATCTGCAAACACAGTTTTCCTTCTTCCATTCTAATTTGGGTGTTCTTTATTTTACTTTCCTACTAGAGGCCCAATGCACAAAATTTGTGCATGGGTAGGGTCCTTATGCCTGTCCAGCGATCAGGACCGATCTGAGGGGCGACCGGCGGGTTGATCGGGGCCCCCCACTCACCCCCGCAGTAGCCTGGCACCACCCACTCACCTGCTCCATCGTCCCGCTGCAGTCCCACTCTCGTCAGGGCCCATCGGGGCCGGCAGTGCCTCCACTGCCGCCCACTGCCAGCACCCAGTCGCTGACACCCTCCATGTTCCGCGCCACCCCCTGGTGGTCAGTGCACATCTAACTCCGCCCGTGGGGATAATTCGCATAATTAGCCTTTTATTAAATAGCATTGCATTCCAGTACTACCAGTTGTGATATCTCCTTTTATTTCTGATCTTATGTGTCTTTTAACTTAGTTTATCTAAATGCTTATCAATTTGTTTATCCTTTCAAATACCAATTCTTTTTTATGAATCTTTTCAGTTGTTTTTCTCTCTCTCCTTTTCACTTATTTCTGCTATCTTTGTTATTTGCTTTCTTTACTAACTTTGACCTTAGTTTGTTGTTTTCTTCTTCTTCTTTTTTTAATCCTCACCCAAGGATTTTTCCATTGATTTTTAGAGAGAGAGTGGAATAGAGAGGGAAAGATGGAGAGAAATATCGATGTGAGAGAAACACATTGATTTGTTGCTCTCTGCACGGGCCCTGACTAGGGCAAGGGCCAAGGGGGAGCCTGCAACTGAGGTAGTAACCTTGACCAAAATTGAACCTGAGACCCTTCAGTCTGCAGGCAGACACCCTGTCCACTGAACCAAACCTGCGAGGGTTGTGTTGTTTTTTCTTGTTCCTTAAAATATAAAGGCAGGTTGTTTGAGATCTTTCTTTTATCTTAAGGTAGGCATTTATTACTATAACCTTACCTCTGCTTCTTTTGCTGCATTTTGGTGTGTTATGTTTCCATTTTCATTTGTCTGAATATGTATTTTTGATGTCTTTGACCCATTGATTTTGCAGGAGTTTGTTGCTTAAATTTTACATATTTCTTATTTTCCAGCTTTCTTCCTCTGATGATTTCCAGTTTCATGCCATGTTGTTTGGAAAAGACATTTGATATGATCTCAGCCTTCTTACGTTTGTTAACACGTTAAGTGCCCAACCTGCTTTGTCTTCCAGATGGAAAGTATAGTGTCAGTCACCGGTGCCTGACTGGGTTCTTAACATGTTAAGACTTGTTTTGTGACCTAATATGATTTGTTATATGTTCGTTTTGCACTTGAGAAGAATGCGTATTCTGCTGCATGTTCTGTATATATCTGTTGTTTTTCAATTTTTTATTTATTAATTTTAGAAAGGGCAGAGGAAGAGAAGGAGAAATACTGATTTTTTTTGTTCCACTTATTTATGCATCAATTCATTGGTTGATTCTTGTATGTTCCCGGACCAGGTATTGGACCTGCAATCTTGGCATATCAGGGCCACCCTGTAACCAAATGAGCTACCTGGCCAGGGCCAGGTCCATTTGCTCTTAAGAAAAGTTTAGGTTCGATATTCTTTTACTTATGTTTTTGTCTGGGTGATCTATCCATTGTTGAAAGTGGAGTATTGAAGTCACCAACTATTATTGCATTGCTGTCTATTTCTTTCTTCAGATCAGTTAGTACTTCCTAAATATAGTTAGGTGCTCTGATATTGGTTACATATGTACTTTTATAACAGTTACATTTTCTTGATGACTTGGCTGCTTTATCATTATATAAAGAAGTTCTTTGTCTCTTGTGACAGTTTTTGACTTAAAGTCATGTTATCTGACATAATCATAGTTACCCCTGCTCTTTTTTGTGGAACTTTTACACATTTGTGGTTGGGTTGCCCCTTGCCAATAAAGTCATTGTGTAATTTACCATCATTTCTTTGCACTTAGGTTGCTGTTGTGGAACAAAGAATGTGGAGGCACCATCTGAACAGAGCATTCCTGTGGGAGTGTCACAGGCCAGGACTTCAAGGGAATCTCAGTCTCCCCAGAAGACCCACCCCTGTGAGATGTGTGGTCCAGTCTTGACAGATATCTTCCGTTTGACTGAGCACCAGGAAACACTGCACAGACTGAGGTGTGGGGCATGTGGAAAACAATTTTATTTCAGTGCAAACTGTCAACACGACCAGGAGCAGCTCACGGGAGAGACACTCCTCCTAAGCATTGTGGATAGATCCTCGTTTGTAAAGAGCTGCAATTTCCATGTGTCACGGAAGCCCTCTACCCGTGAGGGGGTTGGAAAGGACTGCCTGACCTCCTCAGGACATCTCCAACAAGCCACTCACACCAGAGAGAAACCAGACAAGATCTCCAAAAGTAGGGGGACTCTTCAGCCCAGAAAAAGTAACTGTACTAGGGAAGAATGTGAGAAAGCCTTCAGTCCCAAACACGCACATGTTCCGGACTCGGGAGTGCAAATCAAAAAACAGTGTTTCGTGTGCCGTGAGTGTGGGAAAACATTCAGGTACAAATCCTCACTTGTTATTCACCAGAGAGTCCATGATGATGACAGAATTCATGTCTGTGACGACTGTGGGAAATCCTTTAGGGGAAGCTCAGCCTTCACTCAACACCGAAGAATTCATTCTGCGGCGAGGCAGCACAAGTGCGGCAAATGCGGGAAATCCTTTAACCAAAAATTTGTCCTCATTTATCCTCAGAGAAGCCACACTGGAGAAAGTTGTTACGTCTGCTGTGAATGTGCACCATCTTTCAGGCAAAGCTCTGCTCTTATTCCACAACAACAGACAGTTTATTCTGGAGAAACGAGTTTTGAGTGCACCGAATGCGGGAAGTTCTTTAAACGGAACTTGGACCTCATTGAACATGGGAGAGTTCATACAGGAGAAAGGCCTTTTGAGTGTAATGAATGTGGGAAGTCTTTTACTTCCAGCTCTGCCCTCCGTTATCATCAGAGAGTTCACAGTGGAGAAAAGCCTTATAAATGCAATGAATGTGGAAAGTCTTTTACCTCTAGCTCTGGCCTCCGTTATCATCAGAGAGTTCATACAGGAGAACGGCCATTTGAGTGTAGTCATTGTGGGAAATCTTTTACTCAAATAAATCACCTCATTATACACCGAAGAATTCACACAGGGGAAAGGCCTTATGAGTGCAGTGAGTGTGGAAAATCCTTTAGCCACAAATCTTACCTCTCCCAACACCAGAGAGTTCACACTGGAGAAAAGCCCTTTGAATGTAGTGAATGTGGGAAATCTTTCACCTCTGGCTCTGCCCTCTGTTATCATCAGAGAGTTCACTCCGGAGAAAAACCCTATGAGTGCAGTGAATGTGGGAAATCTTTTACCAAAGGACCAATACTCATTCGACACCGCAGAGTCACACAGGAGAAAGG